CAATTCCCTCCAGTCCTCTGGAAAGAGAATAAGCCCTTTACTCTGCCAAACAGGAGGGCTTGACCCTTCAAAGTGGCTTGGTCTTGGAAGAGAAATAACTGGTCTGGAAATCTGATAATGGGTTGTGGCCCTTAATGGTAGGGGCGCTTTCTGAGCTGCTTCAGTGACTCTTGATCTGGAGGAAGATCCTGTGGTGAAAACGATCACGATGGAGGACACATCTCCTTGGACACCAGTGTGAACACCAAATATTCCTTCCTTGCTGTGAACTCTGTGGCAACACACCCCCCTGCAGGAAAGGGACCTCATCAGAGTCTCTTGAGAGACTGACCCAGACCTGTCCCATCTGACCCAGAGAAGCAAATGTGAGGGCTGTGGCTACCAGTCACACTTGCTTGTTGATCCTCTCCTGATCCCAGATGACCTTCACAATTAACATAACGTTACAGAGATCAACTATGGTAACTGCATTTTATAGGGACGTCTACTATAAGCATAACTGTTATAAGTAAGATCTACTACAGTGACTACATTTTCTAAGAACTAAACTAGGCCATGTGGCCCAACAGCCACGGCTGGGACAATAGGAAAGAAAAGTCAATATGGTGATTTCTCTGAAAAACCTGGAAGTAAAAATGGCATCCGTCCTTACATCTCCCTTCCTGTGTTCTGGAAGAGCTTGTTTGGGAGGGTGAACTGAGTAAAGGGGTTTGGTGGTAGGTGTGCTTCTCTGCCACATGCTGAGGCTGCAGTAGACTTCTTCTAGACAACTATCTATTTTTCCCATTTGCTGCATTTTTATTCTTGTGACACAATTAAAGTTTTCCTTGGCTGGTGCTCTAGTTAACCGTTTGCTCTCCCTAACACCGTGGAGCACTCTCTTAGGCACGTGACTTTGATATCCACATTCTCCTGGGGAGAATACTGGCCTTCTTTGTTCAGTTGACCAGAATCCTGGACCTAGGCAGAATATGGGGACAAAGCCTTCCCTTCCTCCTGTCTTTGGTGTATAATTTACCCTTGACTTCTCTTTTCTTAAGAAACCTTCAGGACATGTGAGATTGTGAGGTATTTGGGGATGTTAAACAATCAATACCATTTATTATTGTCCATCAGGTGAAGCAACAGAGCCGAAGGTCTAACTTACAAGTGACCCTTGATTGGAGACTTAATTGATTCCAGGAGCGCCGTGAAAAATTGAACCATTGTAAGTCGAGCTCTCATTTTCTGTAAGCACCATCCTACACATTCTACTCCCTACCTTGGAATCTAATCTCATACCATAAAAATATCCAGAGTAATTCCAACAAAATGAAACTGAGATAAAACACAGATATACGCTTTTCAAACATTTACAGACTACATAAAAAGAAATTCAATAGGAAAATCTGTAGCAGGGCCCTAATTGGGGAGCTCTCTTGTCTTTGGGACCAAAATGGGCTGGATGAAGTTTCTTAAAATGTTACTTCGATGAAGTCTTGATTGAAGTCATCTTCTTTTTGTGATAAATGTCCCTGTCACAGTGGCTTTCAACTGAGGGTGACTTTGTCCCCAAGGGTAAAATTGCATTTGGCAATGTCTGGAGATAGTTTTGGTTGTTACCACTTGGAGGGGGCGGTGGTCCTATTGGAATTCAAAGGGTAGAAGCCAGGGGTGCTGCTAAGTATTCTAGAATGCACAGGACAGTTTCCCTCAACAGAGAATTCTCTCACCAAAATGTCAATAGTACTGCCATATTAAAACCCTGCCCCACAGTAAGCATGGGCATTTCAATCTGAATTAAAATTCAGGTCATTTCTCTGGAAAAGGAAAATTGAAATCTAGATTTACACGAACGCCTCTCCAAGTCTTTAAATGGTACATGATAGGGAGGCGAGTAGGGTAGGAGGTCAGGTGGTTCCATCTTGACTTCTCCAGCGATCCTGTGCTCTTCTGTGTCAGTAAGTCAGCTGAGCTGCCTTTCATAGCAAGCCAGGTTGTCATTGTTGCCAATTGTTTCAATTGTGTGTAGCTTTGGTTGTAAATATAAGTTTTGGTCATTACTCTGTGGGTTTTACTTATAGAAAAAAAGTCATAAAAAGTGAGTATGGGTCACAAATCATTCCAGGTATTGCCTGTACACAGACATAATTTACACATTTCCTCACAGTTATTGCTGTTTTTCTTGGATCTTTAAATTTCCTGTACAGCTAGCATATTGAATTTTTGTAATTGCTACTGCATTTCTTGTAATTTATACTCATTTCCTAGAAATCTCTACAGGGCTGATTGTTTGTCATGAAGAGCAGACCCAGAGCTTTCACACAAACTGTGAATGAGTGCTTAGCAATGATCTCTGATCACAGCAATTCTTACTTAAGATATTAAAGGACATACCAGAACCTTTTTGAATGCCCTTCCTCTCCCCAGCTGCCCCCTCCAAAGAAGATTCTATAGTAATCAGTCCTTTGAGAAGGTTCTGTTAGCTTTTTGGATTCAAGAAGTTCCTTAATTGCCACTTTTCTCAGTGTTTGAAATATGTCTAAGTTAAAAAAAATATTGTGAATATTGAAATGACAACCTCATCCTAATTAACTGAATTCTTTTACTGTGTATCTCTTTCCAGTTCCTCACGAACACATAAACAGAAATTTGGAAATTTTACTCTGTTCTATTTAAAACCTTTGAAGTGAGGGGCCTTATTCACATACTTGTGGCATATCTGGATTGGGGAGTAGGGAGTTTGGTACAAGTGGATGGAAACAGAAAGAGGCAAAAAGAGATTAAGTCTCTTCAAGGAGGGACCAGGCCTTTTGTCTCTGCACATCCAGAGCCAGGACTGGGTCTGGTCCATAGTATGTGCTCATTGAACTCAGATGGTGCGATGAGGGAAGAGGAGCAAGAGACTCAGTTATATGTGGATTTATGAGGCTAATGCACTCTCTTTCTATAATTCCTTGAAAGCCTGGGCAATGGAGTGTATCATACATATCACAGGAGAGGAGATACACAGGACCCAAGGGCCCTTATTCTATGATGATGTCTTCGTGCTGACTAGCAAAGAGGTTGCTGTTGAGGCATGTGTCCCCAGGGCCACTAGGGTCCTTACAGAAGAGAAGACACTACTGTGTTTAGGTCAAGTTCTTGATAATTGCACTGATTACTAATGCTGCTAATATTTTTCTTGCTTAACAATCCATTTTTAATTTTACCCGTGGCAATTGTTAGTTCCCACAACACAGCAATAATTAAATCTTTGTTCAGATGGTTGTAAATGCACCCAGAGGTCTTAAGCAATGGATGAATTATACTCATTTAAGTTAAGACATAATGTTAGCATTCAGTTACCTCAGGAATAACTACTAATTACTGAAATTCCTTTAAGTTCCACTATATCCTTTTAGTTTCTGCTTCCTAGATAACATGCAGGATGAGATTCAGGTGGTTTTATCTGCACCTTACAACGGCCACTCCTCCGGGAATATGATCCTGGGGTACAGGTTTCCCGGGTGGCTTATTTAAAATAGGATCAGGAAATGTGGCTATTTTTAAAGGATGGTCTCTTGTCCGATATTCCGGAAATCTGTTTCTTAAGAAATGATGAAGAAAGAGGCAAGGAGGCATGGGGGAAGGGCTAAGAAGAGTGTCCTGGCCCTGTTCGTGTAGGGTGCCTTCAGTGGGAGAGTGTCACACAGCGGGAAGCGGGAAGCGGGAAGCTGGGATTTTGTCCCTGTTTCTCACATGGCTTAGGGTTGAGAAGACCCTGCTGGTGCCTAGTAAAGACTAAGATGAATAAAACTTTAAAAAAAAATTTGTTTCCAAGGCTAGGATTCATCCCTTTTTTAAAGTACTCTCTTGGTCTCCCTTTTAATGTGGGAACGGTGGAACAAAGTCTCTCTCTCTTGGCCTTGCGATTTCACAAGGCTCAGCCTGTCCTTGGCCGCCTGTGGGGAGCTCTGTCATCACCCTCCCTCACAGGGCCCCAGGCAGCCAGGCCAAGACGAACACTCACCACTCCTGGCCCTGCTCCCACAGGGTGTGCTGTTTCATGCCCTGCACTCTTATTCATAAGGCTCCCTCCTCACCTTTCCCCCTTGGATATTTCCTGTGGTCATAAGACCCAGCCAGGTCAACCTCCCCCAGTTAGGCTGCTAATGCCCCTCCCTCCTCCAGCAGGGGGAGATCCTGTCTGTGTTTATGGCACCTATCGCGCTCTGTTACAGTGCTCTCTCTACGTCCTGGCTCCGTATGCCTGTGGATCTGAACTGGAGGGAAGTTTCCCTCATGACCCTCTGGTTGGCGCTGTTACCTGCTGGGTCTTACCTAATGTTACCTGGAGCTTAGAGATGATCTTACAGTGTGCACTGGGCCCATTTTCAAGGGAGAGAAAGGGAAAATGTTTTCCCAGGTGACCAAGTCTGAGAAGCAGGTAATCATGGGAGCTGGAGACTGACTGAGCCAAGGACAGGTAGGCTCAGCAAGTTAGGCCTGTTACATATTCTCCACCAGTGCCCATAGGTGGCACTAGAGCCTCGAAGATCTGGCTCCCACTGGGCATCCAAGCTTGAGGGAGGCGGGCAGTGAATCACTCTTTGTGGCCGATCAAGGCTCAAAACCATAAACAAGACCAGTCTGGGTGGTGCTGGGGCATCCAGCGGAGGCTACCACCCATCAGTGACCTTTTCTGATGGTAAAAGCAAAGGCTGAGATGGAGAATTCAAAGTTGGTGGGAGACAGGGAAGGAAGAAAGGGGGAGAAAGAGGTGAAGAGAGAAGGAGCCGTAGGTGGGGAGAAAGAGGGAGGTAGAGAGGAGGTAATGAGAGACCAGGAAAGGGAAGGCAAGGAGGCAGATGGAGCAGCAGGACCATCAGGAATGAGAGCAGCCTACCCAAAGGGTGACGCAGGGAAGACGTTTTGGCAGAAGTGGTGGGTAAACGTTGAGGAGAAGAGGACCAGAAAAAGCAGGCCGGTCATTAAGAAAGGCGCGCCCCCACAATTCCCTATAGGACTTGCAAGATGCATACCGTTCCTTCAGGATCTTTTATTAACGTATAGAAAATGTGTTTAAAAAAGGAACTATACAGAGGCTAAAAGCAATCAGGACTAAAAATACTAGTTAACAATGGTTAACAAGCGGAGATTCCGGTCTTCGAGCTACAGCGCCATGAAAGGATGGGGACGTTGGTTTGCCCTCTCTCTTCCTCTGCACGTTTGTATTTTTGTTTTAGTTCATTAAAGTGTGCATCACCTGAAGAGTATGTACTCCATTTTCTTCTTACTTTTTTCTTCCTTCCAGTCCTTCTTTTAAGTAAATGCTTTCCCAAGCACGTTGTAGCTAAAAAGTCAGTAAATTGGTCTTTGTTATTTTTACCTGAAAAGCCTGTTAAAGGTTAAAACAACAAACAGAAATTCGGAGGGATTGGAGGATTTGGTGTTTATGATTTCTCAGAACAACAATCTAGAGACCACCAGGGTGGGTTTCAGCTGCCCAAGCCCCAGGTAACATCTCCCTCAAAGTCACAGTGACTTTCTTAGGGTACCTGGGAATTCCCATGGGCCTGGAGCGTATTTGAGGTTGGAATAATTTGAGGGGTGCGTGTGTGAATGACAGGAAGGAGGAATCTGTGTGTTAACGATAACTCACATAGATTCTGAACCTTGAGTCTGTGGGCCATGGTGAGAGTCTAGGCCTCAGAGAGGGTGCAGGTGGAGACAGAGGCTTGACAGGGGAACACTTTCTTGGCTGCCATTTTTGCAGAAATCACAGTGTCTGCTACATCTAACACATAGGTGCCCCTGCTGCCCAAGCAGCCCCCGCATGGGAGAGGCCGTAACATGCAGCGTTCTCTTTCGGGGACAGCTATTCCTTTACACAGAAATGTCGTTCAATTAAGAGAAAGGGGTTCATTTCTGGAGTTTGTGCCTAGCAGCTAAAAATACAAGTTACCAAGTACTGATTTCCTTCTAACCTTCCCAAAGTGGCAAAGAGAGCTGAGATTGTAGCCAACTGTCCTCTGAGACCCCACTTACTGAGGAGGGGGGAGCAGGTAGGGAGAGGAGCAAAGAAACCAGGGAACAAACAAAATTAATTTACCTCCTGTCTTCTTCTAGCCTTAGTCCTCACAAATTTCCACTGCTGTAACCCTGTAGGGGACCAGGAAGGTCTTCATACCCCTGAGATCCTAGAGGGAGGGAGCCCGAATCTGTGTGCAACCTGCTGAGTCAGCCTAAAAATTCATGGGATTTCTGCATTTGATATCGTCTGTATTGGTTTGAATTAATTAACAATACAACCCTTTTCCTCCCAAATTCTGGAGTAAGAGTGACATATGCCATGTTTATTCTCCGGCTTCCCTCTCCTCAATCCTGGCTACATTGTCTGCCCCAGTTTGAGAAGAATGTATCTGGAATATTCCACTCTTCTACTGTTGGGTGAGAAAGAGGCCACCGTATTTCCAAAGGAGCGGGGTGGGGGAAATAGTGTTTGTGTCTTGGTCTTTATCTTCCCCTCCCAACCTGCAATGGATCCTTTTCTTCACCTCCCAAATTTAAGAAAAAAAGAATGGAAAGAGCTGCCCAGATGTTTCTTACTCCTGACGATAAGGTTGAAGATCCCTTGGAGTATGTGGCAAAAACTATGCAAGAACTCCCTTTTCTTTGGAGAGGAGAGAAGTGGCATCAGAAGGCTCTTTGGGAGAACATTAGCATAATCCAAGATGGCGGCCACTTGGCTAAATAAATATAAAGGGCAGAAGCCTCATGAAGTAGAAAAGGCAAGGGCTTTAGAATTAGACAAAGAGCTTCTGATTATGGCTCTACTTAGTAGCTGTGTGACTTTGGACATATTACCTAACCTTTCTGTGCCTCCAGTCTCTTACCAGTAAAATGGTTAAACTTGAGTCAGGGTTGTGGTGTGGATTTAACAAAGAAATATACGTAAAGCTCCTAGTACAATATCTGGAAAATAGTAGATGTGCAATAAATACCATTTCTCTTAGTTTTCATTTGGGGAGAGAAAATTAAAAAGCCTATGCCAGATCTGATGTCAGTTCTGTTACTAATTAGCTGTGTGAACTTGGGCAAGTTACCTAACCTTTCTGGGCCTCAGTTTCCTTGATTATGAAATAAGAGGGTTGGGTTAGATGATCCCCAGAGTCCCTTCCATCTCTGCAGGTGTGTTTCCAATGTTGGCCTTTTGGAGGCAGTGTTGAGCATACTAGTGTTCAATGACAGGAAGTTAAAAGCAACACAGGGTCTCCCTGGGGGCTGCTAACCCAGTGATGGGAAGAAAACAGTAGCTCTCATCCATGCGTTTACCTCCTGGCCGTGCACCTGGACCCAAACCCTCTCTTGTGGCTTGTGTGTTCCAGGCCTCCGGGGTTGCTTGCGCTGCCTCCCCTGAGCCCATGATGCCAATGAGCCAAGGCCAGTGCCTGGGATTGCTGATCCAGGGGGACTGAAAGAGTTACATGTCTCTGAACTGGAAATTCAGCATCAGCCCAGCCTCACAGCCAGACAATGAAGAGCTGTTTTATTAAGTTAACAGAGGGGCAGAGTTTGTTGGAGGAATAAGAGCTGTGTTATTTGGATGCTCTTCAGTAGCCTCATTAAGCTTGGGGAAGGAGGGAGGATTTCCCGTTTGGAGAAAATGCAACACTGTCCAAAGACTGTGAGGTTTGCCAGGGACATTTGGACAAGGGAGTGCTGCAGGTGCAATGAAGTCATGCTTCAGGCAAGGGGTGACCTTGAAAAATTAATCAGAAATGCTGGAGATGACAAGTCAGGCTTGTGACTGTTTGTGAAGAAAAAGCGAGGTCCATGCAGGACCGGTTGAGCAAGCACAGAAAGCCCTTCGGCTTCCCATTCCCATTTCCTGTGCTGTGACAGGCCTCTCATGCCTTAGTTTCTCCTCAGGTGAAGGCGGTGAACGGACAGGAGTCCTGGTGGAAGGCTGAATTCAAGGAACTAATGTGGACCCTTTCCCCGGGCGCTGCCCACCTGGTCTCTGCACATCTACTGTGGAGCCATCTGTAGAAGGTTTGCTTTTAGTCTCTACTGATCCGTTGTCTTCTTTTTTATATTATTTTGTATTTTGTTTTTTCTTCTTCCCAGCTGTTTTGCAAAGCTTGAAGAACACAAAAGGGACATAAGCAAGTCTAGTGTGGGTACAGCTAGGATGAGCCGGAGCCACTCTTTCCAACTGGACCTGAGTCCACACCTACACACCCTGGTAAAGTATACTAGAGTCTTTTCCCTACCCGCTTTTGGAGGTTTTCATTTGGTCTTGACTTCTCTTTGGCCTGCTGCTGCCAAAATGCTCCAGTACTGCTGAGGGAGACCTTATCACATCCATGTGGGGTTGGGTTATGGGGTTTAGGGAAGCATTTAGTCAAAGATCTTCAGGATCTTGGCCAAAGGCCCCTGATGTGCAGCCAGAGAAAGGCTACAGGCACAATCCAGAAGCCAGCCCTGTGACTCATCTTCCCTCAGGGCATAGAACGTCTCTGTCATTGTGACCTGGAGGAAAATCCCAGGAAGGTTAGACAGAGCTGAGTCAGAAGCTCCTGGGGTCTGGATCTTTGTGCAAGAGGCAGACTTCCAAACTTTACAGACATCCCCCAGGCCTCGGAGGTCCCAAGGCCCCCTTCTTGTAGCCTTGGCAAGTTTGAGGCAAGTGAAAACAAATTACCCCACCCTCTGTGGGCTTAGTGAAACTCAACTGAAGTGTGAATCTTTCCAAGCTTCCTTATTAAAGTTTTAAGAGTGGCTAGTGAGATGCAAGTGGAGTGACCCCTTTGGAGGGAAAGAAATGCAAGTCAGGACTTAGGTTAAAGAGGAGGCTGGTGATAAGAAAGTAAGCTGTAGAAAAGTACATATCCTGAGTGAGTGGCTCCACCTTTCCTGAAATTCTGAGGAGAGGTTAAAAAAAAGGAAAAATGTTTTCACTCCCCAGGAGTATTTACAAATCTTGGCCACCAGTTAGTCTATTTCAACCCTTTCAGCTTGGTGCAGCCACTGTTCTCATAGGTTCCAGAAGACAAAGAGGAACTGAAGCCCTTTCCCAACTGATGTTTTTAAGAGTTCTTAGAAAAGATTCCATAATGACTTTTTGTCCCTTAATCCACAGCTCTGCTCTGGGACTGGATTGTAAGTCTAAATGTGATTAAGTGTGTTTGGTTTGGTATTGAACTCATCGGCAACCTTGGTTCTTCAGGTTTGTCTTGGAAGTAACAGTTTCAGTGTAGAGGGAGCTGGTTGGTTCCCAGGTGGAAGGGGACAGAGTGTGAGGTGTCCTACCACTTTATGAGTAGTGGAGTGGGGGAGCTGGGAAGTGAAGGGTGGGGTGGATGTGACTATGGTCATTACAGTCATGCACTGCATAAGGACATTTCGGTCAACGATGGACCACATATACGACAGCGGTCCCATAGATTAGTACCATTAGTACTACACGTATAGGTGTGTAGTAGGCTATACCTTCCAGGTTTGTGTAAGGACACTCTGTGATGTTCATACAACAACAGAATTGCCTAACGGTGCATTTCTCAGAATGTATCCTCGTCATTAAGCGACACATGACTGTATTTGTGGAAGTTTGCTCTGCATTCTTGCTGCCATTTTTGTTGTTGTTGTCCTTTTACAAATCAATCTCCTGTGCAAATCAGTTGGCCAGTTTTCCTGGGTCCTGGTTTGGTATGAGTTCTCCTGGAAACCTGGAGGGACTTGCTGTCCTCCACCCCATGATCAGGAGGTGGCTGGGGGCTGTGATCGCCACCTCATGGTCACACTTACCAAGTCTCCCTCCTCCAGTGAAATCTGGTCTAAAGGCCAGCAGGAGTTTTCCACAGACTTCGTGTCTCTCCAGCCCGCCCTCTCACCTTCCAGAAATAACCCTGGAGAATGTGAGTGGACAGTGTTGGAAACTATCTTTGTCTGATGGGGAAATGCAAAAAGAAGAAACTGTCTGGGTCTTGGGTCTAGGCAGTGAGTCCAGGGCAGTCCTGGGTAGAGGTTTTTTGTGTTTGTAAGTACATATCCTGATGTGTCTGCCGTTAATCTGCCTCTGAGCAGGGTTCTCTTCCATTCCTTTTGAGACCCTGGAGGGAAACTTTGGTGTGCTCAGGGTGAGTGCTTTGTGAATATTGCTTACTGGGTCCCCCATGGGAAGAGCCCATGTGCTTGGAGGAACAGGATAAACAGTAATCAGTGAGTAAAGTGTCAAAGCTCTGAGTCAAGTTGACTATGGGCCTTGGGGAGATAATGGGCACAGTGTCTCTTAAACATGGTGAAAGCTTGTGAGAAAATCACTGTACTTAATAAAAGGAATTTATAAATCTTTTTATAGAAGCTTGGGTGTAGTAATCTTTGAAGTCCCTTTCCTGCTTTAAAATTCTTTAAAATAAATCTAGGCAATGCTGCCGATACTATTTATAAAAATGTTCCATAGGGTAAAACGGTTCCAAGAAAAGGCAGGTTTTGGTTTCCACTTTTACCTGAACTGACGACATGAGGACTCATAATCTTTTCCTGTTTCGGTGCCCTTGATGAGGTGGGCCGTGCTGGCACCACCCAGGTCCCTGGGCTCTGCTTTCATGGACAAAGTGAGTTCAGCCTCTTACTTGGCAGGGTCTTTTCTGCAATGTTTTGTCCTCTGTGTGTGTGTTTTACTTGCAACTTCTAAGTCAGTCTTCCTTCCTTCCTTCCCTTCTTCTTTCCTTCCTTCCTTCCTTCCTTTCATTCAAGTAAAGCAAGGATTCTGGTTAGTTCTCATTAGTTAATTGTGCTCTCTCAGCAATGCCAATTTCTATGCAGATCTCCAGCTCAGAGACTAGCATTACTGGCTGTCAAAACTGAAAGGGAAGTTAGAAGCCATTGTAGTCTAAGCTTTCATTCAGCAGGTTAGGAAACTGAGGCCCAGAGAAGTGAAGCAACCTCCCCGATGTCACATAGCCAACAAAATGGCAGTGGTGGGCCTACAGCTCAGCCCCCAAGTTCCTCCTCACTCAGTTGTTTCCCACTGTTCACTGGCGTCCCACTCTCTAGCTGAATCTTACTTAATTTAAGGTTTCTTGAAAGGATCGTTTCTGTTTCTTTCTCTTTCTCCTAGTTTTCTTGAAGCCCACGGTGAATTGAGAAGTGAAAATGTCACCTCCATTTTCAGCACCGGGTTTGTCAGTCACATCCACACCACACCAGTGAACAAGGCCCTGGAGGCCTGCTACAGGGAGAGTGGCTACAGCAACTGGCAGCTGACTTCATCCTCATCACATCAGAAGTGTGATCGTCCACCCAGGGACCGCCCCTTCCTGGTTATCAGAACTTGGTTAGATTGTGGATGTTTCCATTAGAAAGGTGCCTGCTCACAGGCTCATCCAGTAACTGCTTGGGAAAGCTACAAGATGCCCCAGTTTGACTAAACACAGGCATTATAGAAGCAGACCTGGGGCTTTGAAGAGAACGGGAGGAAAGGGAGAAGGCGGCTGGGGGAACTGGGCATGGATTTCGGCAGAGCTGCAGAGACAGCTGCAGCCAACGTGATTTGGAGAAGTTGAAGGGCCATGGCTTCTAGAGCCTCCAGCTCTCTTGGGCTTAACAACCAAATCATGCTAGTGAAGAGAGCTCATCTCATAAGATGGAGGGATGCCCACAGTCTGCCACTCTTCACCTTTGGATTTCTAAATGTAATTTCCTCCAGTATTTTTCATTTTTCCTCTCAAACGCAGAATAATAAAAGAAGGTGGAGAAAGGCTTCTCATGATCTCACCTCATTAAGGAGGTCATTCCTGTTTCCCACAGAAGCAAAAAACAGAAAAAAATCCAAAAACCAAAACCCCCAAATCCCACCTCTTCCCAGGGAATGTCAGTAAGGGGATTGGCTGGCTGGTCATATAACTTCTTCTTCTGACGCTTATTAAGCCAGCCACACTAAAGAGAGCCTGGCTGAGACAGAAACGAGGCCTTCAGTCTGTAATTCAGAAAAAAACAACCCATGACAAATAGGACCAGAAATAGAGAAAATGGAGTTAGGTAAAATCCGTGTTCCCCATGGGACCTGCCATCTCAATGGCAGGTGCCCTGGTTTCCACTTCTGCTGTCCTTTCCTCAATGCCTGACCGAAAGTGCTAAAACTCACAACCATCTTCCCCTCCCATCCCCCAAGAAAGTTGCTGTCTGACCTGAGGGAGGGGGCAGTGATTTATGACCCACAGGGACACAGCCACTGTGTAGCCCAGGGCCAGGCACGGGCAACGAATGCCTTGGGAACTAGAGGCCAAAGCAGAGCTTGGGCTTGTGGGGCCGTGGGAGTCTCAGGGTAGGATGCAAGTAGGCACAGGTCTATTGGGGCTGGAAAAGAGGCCAGTACTCTTGAAAGGTAACAGAGGACACTCGGCTGGTAAGAGTGTCAGACGATGAGAATCTTTGGCCCATGTAAGAGGACTTGGCTTGTTGGGTTGGGGTGAGGATAATCTGTTTCCTCTTAAGGGGAGTTGTTGGCAAAGCTCTCTTGCTGAGGCTTCTTCTCTGTGTCAGTGTGAGAACCTGGCCATCAAAGGCAGTGACAAGAGCACGAACACCTGGATGTGGAGGGCATCTCAGAAGGAGGGCAAGGAAAGAAGGCACGTGCCTGCCACCATGACAATCTGACTCCAGCACTTGCCTTTGAATTTGGATTTCAAGAAAACTTCCCACTTTCATCCTTGGTGGGAAGAGGGGAAGTTTAAGGATGACTGGGCAGAAGGGAGAATGGAGACCGAGGGTCAGGGCCGGGGGCAGCAGAAACCATGAGCCGCTGAACCTCAACTGATTTCCTGCTACATCCTGCTTCCTTTAAACACTCTTATTATGTTGCAAAGCACATTACTATTACCCCCCACCCTTTGTTTCATATTATAAAATACAAACAAATGACAGAAAAGGTCAGTTGGCTTGCAGCCGCCCACTACTCAGAACTGCAAGGACCGCCGTTTCCTCCCCGCCGTGAGACGGTGGTTGTAGGGGCGCATCTTCATTTCCACAAAGGGGATGGAGAACTCGTGGCCTTTCCAATGGTACCAGTTGATCCCCTGGGAAGGAGAAAGGTAAGCACATCAGGTCATCCTTCTCCCTCAATGGAACCCCTAGCTTGCAAAGAAGGGGAATGATGGGAGTGGGGAGTTCAAGGTGTGGATTTTGCCATTTTCCATCAACATGAAGCTTGTGGCCAAGTTCCCAACAAAGTCAAAGGAGCAGAGTCTCTTTCCAGCTTTTCTTTTTAAACAAGACTGTGAACTGGGTCTTTATTGGGAATGTGTTGCAGGTCGTTCCTTATTGCCAGCTTCATGTGTTTAGCTTTCGGGATTTGCATGCACCAGCAACCAGTGTTGAATTTCAAAATCCCAGCAGTACAGAAGCATTTTGAAGAGAGTAACTGTTTGCTTACTCCTGATGGAAGAGTCAGGTGGTTTCCATCTATGGTGACCAACCATCTTGGTTTGCCCAGGACTAAGGAGTTTCCCTGGCTGCTGGCCTTTCAGTGCTAAAACTGGGAATGTCCCTGTTGGTCCAATTGGTTAGCCTATCACCCAGCCCAGCCTATGGACTTGTAGTCTCTAAGGGGAATGACGGTCCAGTTTATACTGGCATTTCTGGTCAATCCTTTTGTAGGTCACTTCTTAGGATGAAGTTGAGCCTTCATTGATAATCTCTTCATGGGATCTTCCAGATGAGGAAATGAAATGGAATTTGACTGGTTGTCAAGGGCTTCTTGGGGTGAGTTCTAGCTCTTGAGTCCAGATGCTTTCCTTTTCTTCCTCTGCCTGTCCTATCTCAGAATTTGCATTACTTTCCTCGTCATGCTAGTCCTTTCTCAAGACTCTGAGCATTCCTTTTTAGAAGGGAAATGTAAGACCTACACGTGCATTTAAAACACAAAGCTAAGGGACCGTGGGTCCCACAGCTGTGGATCACTCATAACAGCGGCAGAACTTTACCTACCTGACTGTGCCTGGATTCCCCATATTTCCCATTGAGGTTGGTCCGGTGGCAGTTCTTATACCACCAAGCCCCCTTGTATGACATGGCGCAGTTGGTAACTGCAACATCATTGTCTCTGTCCTCTGTGGAAAAAGGGCGTCCTTGATGGTAGCTGAGGGAGTCCCCTGGAAAAAAGACACATTTGTGAGGCTGTTCTATCTGTCACTCTTTTGTCAGGATTTTCTGGACATTGGACCCCCTCCCAACAAACCTGGCCTCCACTTAAGGGACCTTCCACTTGCCTCTCCTGTTTCTACCCAGTTCATCAGCCTGACTATACTGAACTCTTACTCCACCTTACTCCTGGGTTCAACTACTTCTGTGCTTCAATCTCGAACTCATTTGCTCATTCCCCTGACCTTCTGCTGAGAACTCTGTCCACTCAGCTCCACCTCACCGCCCCTGTGCACTGGGACACAGATATTCATGGTTCCTTTTGTCTCTAGCGGAGACAGTGATGAGCCATGGTGACTTGGGCCAGTCTGGGTCACCACCATGTGCCTGGCTTTCTCCGTGGCTCATCATGCCTGGTCAGCCCACACTCAAAACCCTCCATTTAGAACTTGGTGCCACATGTGAAGAAAGACGTCAGAAAACAAGAGTTCCTGTTCACAGGAAACTGGATGATGAAAAAAATCCTAACCATGTCAGAGGAGAAGTGGCTGGGAAAACTGGGGCTGTATCTTGGGGAAGAGCAGGCTTGAAGGGGAGACAAGGTTCATGATCATTATCTCCAATATCTGATGGGCAATTGAGTAAAAAAAAATTAAATGAACTCTCTGGTGATGTATGAGAATCAGTAGGTAGAAACTTGTGAGGAGGCATAATTTGGCTAAATATATGAGGAGAAATCACCTAAATATTAGAGCCGTTCACAAATGGGATAGACTGCTTGGAGATGTGGTGAGATCTCTACTCTCAGTGGCAAGCAGAGGCTGGGTCTTCTCTTCTTGGGATGCTGTGCAGGGGACTCATTTGAATTGAGTATTCGAGATGAGGGGTCAGACTATAATTAATTTATAACTCTTGACCACATTTTTGGCAGGACTTGTGCTTAGAGATGTTGTGAAGGGGCTCATGCTTTTGAGTGAAAGTTATCTTAGATGCTTCTGAGGTCGCTTTAAGCTAGGAGAGACCATAGTTCTGCTTCTGTGACTTCTAAGTCCACACCATAGTGGCCACTTAATGCCTCCAATGCTTCCATGACAAGTTAACCCTGAGGGGGATATCTGTATTTTATGGGGATGCCTGATCCCCTCAGGCCAGTTGGGTCCCTAACTCAGCATGTCTTTGTCTTTATCCCTTCTTTTTCATCTTCCCCTCTTAGTCTCCAAGGAATCAGTTTTGTGTCCATCTAGAGTTAATCTTACTACCTGCAACTCATTTTTTCCCATCTCCTCCAGGTCCTAGAGAAGGCAAAAAATATTTCTTACTTTTTCCTTTTTTTAATACTTTTTTTTTTTTTTTAGCACTTTCACCTCCTCCAATCCTAGGTCATACTCATATTCCTTATCTTAAAAAGGTCTTGGGTTAATCCTACTGTCTAGTGACCTTTTCTGTACCATCAGTTCCTTGACTATGTTGCCTCTACCCACATTCCTATCTTCTCATCTCCTGCTTATCCCTCTGTAACCTAGAATTTGCCCTTATTACTCCCCTGGAACAATTGTCTCCAGCTTCCACTCTGATGCGGCCTGCCACCGTCTCATATACGATCCCAATGTTGGTCCTTAGTTCCTTCCCAAATCTGGCTCCCTGTCCCATTTCTACCTCATATATCCACCTCACATATTTAGTACATTAGCTAAGTACTGGTTGTTCTCTCTCAAACTGCTGTTCAGATTTAGACCTTTCTCTTAATTCCTGGCATTAGTCAAGGCTCCTGTTATCTCCTACTAGGATTAATGCAGCAGCTCAAGCTGGTCTCTGCTCTTCACTCAGATTTACTTTATCCTGCTCATGGCTGTCAAATGAATCCTCCTACAACCCCACCTTCATTATCTACTCAGGACCCACCATGGCTCCTACTGCCCACCATATTAATACTGAACTCTTAGTTTTAAGGCCTTTTGGGATCTGGCTCCAGCCTACTCCACCAATCTTCTGTTTCTTCTGAGCTCACACCCTGCCGGGGCAGCCAGGCCCTTCACGCCTTCCCTCCCTCCACATTAACTGCTCCTTCCGTGAGTTCTCTTCCAGGCTTTGCCTTCCCTGGAGTGTCTCCCTTACCATCAGGATCCCAGCCAAATGCTGCTGGTTTCATGAAGCCTTCCTCAACCACCCAGACCCCCCCTCCTCTGGACGCCCATTAATCTGGATGTGAGTACCATTTCTTTTGAGGTGAGTTACTACCTAACTGTTTCTTTTCTTTAAATAGATATTTAGTTCTTGCAGAGGCTATGTCTTACGCCTCTTCTGAGTCCCCACAATTTGTACGAAGAACTTCCAGGATTTGTTCAACAACCTCTTGTTGATAACTTGATTTGGAATTTTCGGTCCTAATCCAATGAGAGTCCTGGTTAGAGATTTGGATTTCTGGAGCCTTGAGAAATGGGGGTAGGAGAAGTGGCTGAACTTGGATGAGATGCCATGGGGATGGACTGTTGCCAGCAGGGCCAGTAAAAATGAGCAACAACTAAAAATAAAGGCCCAGAGAATTGGGCAATAGTGAATGCCAGAAAGAGAGGATGGGCTCTTCCTCCCCAGAGACCTGGTCTAGAAAGAACAACCGTTGTGTGGAGTTGCCTGGAGAAGTGGCAGCCTACATAAGCCCAGGTTTTCATCTTTTGAGGAAGATGAACTAAATATGTGAGGTGAGAGGTCATCAGGTTGTAATTAATTTATGATGATTGGCCAAATTTTTGGCAGGATTTGCCTCTGAGACATGCGAGTAGAACTCAATCCAGCAATTCTGACCGCTACAGGGCCTGGTAGCGAGATAGAGCTGCAAAGAGGCAGCAGCCACTGGGTCCAAGGTAAACGGTAAAAAGCAGAGACCTGGAGCAGGTGAAGAGGAAGGTAGGACACGTGAGGAAGTGGGAGGGCCTGCTCTCCTTCTGTGGGAGAAATAAGAGCTGCTTTTCTACAGGCACAATTCTAATCCCATGGAATGGTTAGCATCAGGTTATTTTTGAAACGATTTAGTCTGACATTTTGTTTAATACACTCCATTTCCATGGCTGTTTTATGCCCAAAGTGTGATCAATTGCACCTTTTATTGGGGGTGCTTCAAGCAGGTCTGATTGCCATTGGGAATGACCTCCAATATGAACAATAACAAAGGAAAGTGTGTCTTCCCTTTAGAGTAACAATACCTGGCTGAGAAGAAATAATTGGACAGATGCAGTGTTTGGAAGGGAAACACCTTGATGATCTTCTTAATTCCAAGAGGCATAAAAATGTTACTAAAATTATACACTAGCATTTAGTCCTAAAATTGGAGTTAATGAAAGGACCAATAACTCCATATATCAAAGAGCAGAATATTTGGAAAAGCAGGTTTTATGAAATGTGCTACAATAGAACTCAGGAAACAGACTGACAAAGCCTAAGAAGCAGGCTTGATATTATGTGCCAATAAAACCATTAGTGCAACAGAGCTTAGAGGGAGAGTTGTTCTATTTAGTAGAAATGTCATAAGAATCTATACAGAAAACGTGACTGTGTGTGTGTCTCTTGTGGAGGAATGAAAAGAAGTGTGGCCACTGAGGAACATTTAACTGCTGTTGTCTGGCCCTTGATGGGAGTGTCATGATGACTGCTGATGGTGAGGTGGGGTCGTCTCAGAATACGAGGGATCTGTTTTGTCCTCATTAGTTCAAAGATGGTTTTCTGAGATGTCATTGCAGGGGAGATTTCTACCCAGACAATGGATGATTGTGCTCTCATTGGATAAGAGCCCATATTGATTAATCTAGACAAGAAAAATAATCCTTTGCCCTTAAATTGCGCATTTTTTTTTAACTTTAAAAGCACGTTCACTGCATTTATCGCATTTTTTTCTGACTTCTCTGAAGTACAGCAAGCATCATTATCACAGTTTTCCGGATGAGGAAACTGAAGGCCTGAGAATTTGATTTCAGGTCCCCCGAGTGGTTAGGACAGCCTTGATGAGAGCAGTGATTCCCGGCCCTCTGCCCTCCTCATTGGCTAGCAGGGAATTCATGAACTCTGTGGGTGCTGCCACTGCCTGGTGCAGCTTGCGCCTACAATGTGGGCATCCTGGTCCTGCCGCATGCCCATTGCCCCTGGGGTCTGCTCAGGGGCCAAGGTACCTGCAGTGCCATTGTAGCCTCCTATGCGGAGTTTGTACAGGCTTCTGCTGTCCTCCACGGAGAACTTGTCGTAGTAGGCGAAGGCGGCCTCCTGGCCATCCCGCATGTCCACGCGCAGCTCGTAGCGGCCCTGCGACGTGATCCTGTGTATGTTGTCCAGCCCTGTGGAGAAGAGCAGAGAATGCAGTCAGCTGGCCGCAGTGGCTTTGGAAATGGGAGGGAAAAGGCAACTGTGGCCTCATAACAGAGGTTATAGAGGGGAGGTGGGGTATCCAGATTGCTTTTGCCCTCAGCCCTTCCCAGGTTGTTAGCAAACAGACCCTACGGGGCTGGCCCCGTGGCCAAGTGGTTAAGTTCACATGCTCCACTTCGGTGGCCCAGGGTTCACTGGTTCAGATCCCGGGCATGGACCTACTCTCTGCTCATCAAGCCATGCTGTGGTGGGATACCACATTGAAGAACTAGAATGACCTACAACTAGGATATAGAACTATGTACTGGAGCTTTGGGGAGGAAAAAAAAAAAAGGAAGATTGGCAACAGATGTTAGATCATGGCCAATCAGTCTTACCAAAAAACACAAGTCAAAACCAAAACACCAAAAAAACCCAGACCCTGCCAGATTCTGAAATTTCTCCTGCAAAAAGGCCAGCCCAGGTCTGTTGATGAATTCCCACCACAGAGAAGGTCAGGGGTGCTAATATCTAGTCTTGACCCAGTAACTGACGAGCCCTGAGCCTCAGGATTCCTGGCCCTGTTGCCCACCATCTCCCATTCCAAACCATGGTGTGGGGTGAAAATGACAAGAGGCATCATATGGCCATGAGTCCTTTGGTGTGGGTGATAGGAAGCAAGAGGTAGAAACACTGATCAGAGGAGGTGAGGGTGGGCCCTAGGGGTCCAGGATACCTGGACAGCCTACCGTCTCCTGGTAGCCTGTGAAGGGGGTTCTCACTTTCATTACACTGCCTCTCCTCTGCCTCCGGCCCTCCTGAGGCTCCCGTTACCAGATTGGGGAAAACTCTCGCCTGCCTCCTGACTCCACTTCCTTTCTCTCTGATCTACCTGCTACAGCTAGCACTGCTGCCTCTTCACTGGTCTTCCAGGCAGTTACCCTCACTCACGTGCTCTCTTTGGCCTCTCAGCTTCCCAGGCCTTGGTCCAATAGATTCTTGTATGTGCAAACCTCTGGGAGTCCAGAGTTCAGGTAGAGCACAGATTCTCCTTGGTGATATGTTCTCGTATGTATTTTCTTTTTTATTTTTAAGTAATTTTTTGGGGATTATAAAGGTTTATAACATTGTGTAATTTCAGGTGTACATTATTGTTTTTATCAATTCCCAAATATACTTCATTGTGCTCAGCCCTAATAGTCTAATTTTCATCCATCACCATATCATATGTATTTTCTTGGCTGCTTGCCCTGGCTGGCTGTGCTGGGCAATTTTGACCTATTTGACCAGACTTGGAGCCACTCACCCTGCATTGCTAGTCACCTCTGAGTCCTCCTGGTCTCTATCTGCCTACACAACTGGGATCCTCTTGCTTTGCTGTGGCAGCTAATGTCTACTAGAGTATGCCCTGATTTAGAATCAAAGAATTGCAGAGATGGAAGGGAATTTAGAGATGACTTAGGCTAGTCTCTGTTTTGTGGAAAAGGAGGCTGGAACCCACAGAGGTGAAATGATTGGCCGAGGGTCACCTGGATCTTTCTGCTTCCCTATCCTGTTTAAGATTTAAAGCATTACCTTGACTATAAGTCAAAGGCTGTTTGACTGCTGTTTGCTGGGTTGCTGACCCTAGACTTGTGCTTGTGTGGATGAACTGGAGCCTGCTGGTGCCCTGCCCAGATGCCCTGAATTGAATGGTGGCTGCATCCCTCAGCTGATAAAAGTGTTGGCTGCTAATAACTGACAGCTGCTTCCTTATTGGATAATTGCCCTTGACCAAACGGGAGTCACTTCCCTCTGGAAGCTACACTCTCCCTCCCCCAAGCCTTGGGGCAGACTTCCATCAATGCCTGATGTGGGGGGTACAAAAGCCCGGTCCCCTTGCCCTGGTGGGGACCAACTCTGAGTAGCAATTCATGCTCCAAAGCTTCCCTGAGGATCAGACTGCAGTTAGTCTCCCACCAAGACCCTATGTTTGTACTTTCCCCTGCTCTATCCTGCCTTCCCCATTCCTCTTCTCCTGAGAGCACTCCCCCGACAAATCACTCGAACAAGAATCCTGGTCTCAGGCTTTGCTTCAACTTAGGACATAAACCATGGGTCATAATGTCACCCCCAAGCTGAGGATTGCTGCCACAGTACACATCATCAAGCTGTGCCTCTGTTTAAGAGGCCTCACTGGCTCCCTTTTACCTATGGCCGTAAGTCAAGACTTCTCTTCTGCACTTTAGAACCATAATGTGCCCTCATTCAACCCACCTACCATCATTTTCTTCTTTCCCTGACTTGCACCCTTCCTCTGGTTGGATGTTTTCTTCACTGTCCCTTTGCACAGATCAAATGGATCCCTGCCTCCCCTCCTTTCATGTCCCCTTCCCTCTTGCATTCTTCCTACTCATCCCTCAACGCCTTCTCCATGAAGCTAAACTCTTCCTTGAATATCCATGGCTGTCTTGTTGGTAGCTCATAGGTCAGTACAGAGTTTCCCAGGGCGAGATGGCATTTCTGATGAAATGAGAAATATTTTGGGAATAGGATTAAATAATTTTGGACATATAGGGAAAAAGGTATTTCCAAATTCTATCTCTTTCTTAATAGATTAAGGAGAACACTTACCCCTGATCCTAATCTTAACTCTCAGTCTCAATTTGGTTCTAGTACTTTGTGGTTTAACACCCAAAACTTTCTAATCTCCATTTTTAACACCACCACCAGCAGCAGCAACAACAACAGACTTGGAGCCTCCGTACTGATCTATCATTTGATAATTTTAATATTGATTTGTTTTCATTGCATTTATTTTTGAGGTTCCCTTTATTTACGGTACACGATAGTTCTCAATTTTCATAAAACAATAGATTTGATTAAATAAAACAAGTGATATATAGAAAATTTAAGTGCATGATGGTTCAGATATTTCACAGATATGACAAAAGTTGTGAGAATGTCACACAGTGGCTGAGGTTTGGGAAACGTGAGCACTGTCTGCTGTGGGGGCATTAATTCACGTGCATTACACTTGTCTCCCAAGCTGTCTGCAAACTCTTAGAAGGCAAGGATATTTTCCTATTCACTTGACATCTCTCTGTATGTTTGTGTATGATTTTTTACCTTATTTTTTAATATTTACATCAGCAAACACAGACCTGGGCATCTAATAGGTTCTTAGTAAAGTCTTATCATTGGTCGACTGATTGATATAAATATCTTAGGGACCTACTATCTCCAGTCACCATAATAGGCAATGGGGTTAAAAGATGAATATGATGTGGTCCTAGCTCTGAAGCAAGTTTACACAGTACAGTCAAGAGAGACAGAAAGGAAAATGGACACTGTGATTGGGGCCACAAAGAGAGAGTAGCCGATTCTCCCACAGGCAAAGGGTGATAAAAATGGGTAGGATATGTTCTATGGAGGAAGAGATGTGTATTTGGGTCTCTGAATATGCACAGAACAGCAAGGTGCATAGGGGAGGGAATTGTCAGCTGGCACAGTGGTCCTCGCAGAGGCGACATTAGTAGTTCTAAGTGTTTGGAGTTGGTGTTGGGTTGGGTTGAGGTAGTTAGCGGTGGGAGCAGGCTCCGGAGGTATATTACAGCGGGCCTTGGACCTTAGCTAAGGTGTTTGGCCTTCACCTGGTGGTGACAAGGAGTCATTGAAAAGTTTTACAAGTGGGGTTAGCCGTCACTCAGATTTTGGGTATGAGGAAGATGATTCTAGTGGCCATGTGGACAATGGGTGGTTCTGGCGGTAGGGAGGCTAGTTAGGGGGTTGTTATAGGAGCATCCAGGAGAAAAACGATGAGGCCTGGATGAGTTAGTGACAGGGGAGACAGAGAGGAGACCACAAACATAAAACACAATTATTTGCCTTGCCTCCACCTCCCTTTATAATCACTATGAAAACCTCACCCAGAGGGAGATGCAGGTAAGAATGAATCTCTTGCTTTCTGGGATTGGCTCCACAGCTGTCTGCCTAGGGTGGGTGTGTTTACCTTCTCACACCAATTTGGTTCTCAATCGACACCTCCTGCTTGTGTGAGACCTCAAGGAAATTGCCAGTCACCTCTAATGCCATTTTCATTTTTTCCCTTCCCTTCTCAAGTCAGGTAATAACACTCCTCCAAGGAACTAGAGCAGCGTGACTGCCTCATTTCTCTCCTGACCTGCAGGCTGGCTGGCTGGGCCTGGCTTCTGAGAGCTGACCAGCCGGCCTGTTGCTCCCTGCGTCCCCTCCCCCGCCAGGCAGCTCACTCCCTTTGTAGTTGCCTACTGTCAAGATCCATCAGCATAAGAGACTATTAATGAGGATGGGAAGAGACAGAGCAAAGAGGAAAACACCACAATAAGATAAAAACAGATCAATAGTGGAGCCAAATGGAGCAAGAGGTACTGAAAGCAATTCACGAGCTGTCAACTTCTCAGCAGGGTTTCGGATAATCCCAGAGGGACACAGAGAGGAGGGAGGTGGACAAAAAGCCAGAGCTGCTCTCCAAGGGAAAGCAAAAAGGAGGCATTACCCAGCCAAAACTCATCCTCCAGGTTCCCGAAGCCAACACGGTACTCAGCCCATTTCCGGAAAAAATCAGTTTGGCCATTCTGCCGCCTCTGGAATACCTGTGAAGAGAAGGAGTAAGCCACAAAGAGATGCTAAGGAAAATAAACTCTAATGAGTAAAGTTGCTATAACTGAGTGTGATATCTGCAACGGCAATGATGCTCCCATAAGGAACAGGGCATACAGAGCTGGGGATTTTCACAGCAGCTTTTGCAGGAGATGCTCAGAGCCCTTCTCTTGAAGGGCAGAGGCCCCCGATCAATAGGCCAGGGTGTGATGTTGACACTAATTTGCATCCCTGCAATGTAGAAAGGATTCAGGGTACACATCAAACCCCCAAGCAGTCAAGGGAAATAGGCTTGGCTCACAAATTAATCTTTTTGCACCACGGAATGCACGAGAAAGCAGAAGAATGGGACCAGCCTCAAATCAGCTCGTAACTGTCGTCATCCTATTGCAGGCAAAGGAACTGCATGTCATTCACTTTCCAAGCTAAGTGCTAATTTCATTTAACCTCCAATACATCAGCCTCGGCTTCAATTTCTAATTATGTTTTAAGAAGGAGGCACAAATATGTCAGAAACATAAAAGAAAATGCCTCCCAAGAGCAGCTGTTATGAGCACAGCTACTATTTAACTCCATTCAAAAACTATCCCTTTTGCATTGTGAAGAATCCGGCGCTGTGTATTAGCAGCGCTGGAAGGGGGATCCACAGGAGGGCAGGTGGAGGGGCTGGCTTTCCACCCCCACCGACTCAGTTAACACTGAGCTGCTCTGGGGCCAGGCTGCCGGAACTCTCCCACCCGCACAGGGGCCAGCACTGATAGGTGGGACCATTGGTGAGGTTGCCCTTTCTCTTCTCTGTGTACTGCCCTATCAGACATGGGAGGGGGGTGGGGACAGGAAATGGTGTCTCTCTTTTCCCAACCACTAGTGTTCCCTGAAGGCTGTGACAGCTCTGGGGAAGAGCCAGGGAGGGGAGGGAAGGATGGGACCAGGGTGGCCTTTGTAACTAAAGGTGGCTATCCATGTTCTGGCCCTCATCTGCTCCTCCATATGCAATCTTCCAGTAGAAAGATCCTAATCACCTCCCCACAGAGGCTCACCTCCTCCTGCAGAGGAGTTGCCTGCTCTCTTCCTTTATTATAGCTATGGTCTTCAGCAGGCAAGACCCCTGGGCCTATGTGAGCCCCTAGTCCCCTTCCCTGGCACCCTCCTGCATGAACTGTCCCGGCAGAAGGTGCAGTCTTTCTAGGGCCCCTTCATTGGGCCAGGCCAGTGCAGCCTCACTAAGCTTCTTCCTTCCTGGGCCTGGCCAAAGCTAGGGTTGGGCTGCTGAACAAGAGCCCTTAGGGCAATGAAAAGCCCTAAGTTGGACATATTGGGGGTGGATGAAGGGACGGCCAGAGGATGGTGAAGTCTGGGTCCATAGGTGCTGAGCCAGGTGGACTAGAACGCCAAGGATGTTTGCATGCATGGGCAGCTGCATGTACTTACAATCCAGCCACCCCCGTCCGTGGTCATGTCACAGTAAACCTGTAACTTCTGGCTTAGCTCTCCATTGAGGAAGATGGTGTAAACCCCACTCAGAGTGTCTCCATTCATCAAATGCTGGGCACAGTCTTGAGGATGCGGGAATATCCGGCCCCCTGCACACAAAAAGAGGCAATTTCCAGAAAGAATCCACTTTCCCACTATGCGTCAGAGCCCGTTGGATCAGAGAAGGTTTTAGAGAGCCTTGTGATGCTTCATCAAGAGCTGTAAGAAATCCTCACTGGATCTCAAACAGTGTGTGGGAAGCCTGCATCATCCCGCATCCCCCCTCTTCAACTGAGGCTGGGTTTATCATGCAATATACAGTCTCATGGGATCTGAGGACCAAAGAACTAGGTTCACAGTCTGGCTCCTCCACTTACCTATTTGTCCGGCTTCGGGCAAGTGGCCTGAATTCCCTGGGCATCAGTTTTCTCATCAATAAGATGGAGATAATAAACACACTCCCCCACCCCCAACGGTAAAGGCGCGTGATTGCAATTACTGAGTGGTTACTCAGGCCACCATTACAGACACGTGGGCCACAATAGATCACTGTAGGGCCCACCTTTCAAGAGGACGAGAGGCCCCTCAGCCGAGCTTTCTGCCTTCTTCACAGCAGCAGTAAGGAATGCCCAAACACGCTCAGCGTTAGCAAGAAGATGGATATCTCTTCCTCATGCAAAACAATCGGACTGGACTAAACAATCAAATGGCCATGTTTCACAGTTCAGTTTAAGTTTGAGAGGGCAGGGGAAATAAATTGCTCCTCATCTTTCAGAGAGAACAGCCCAATTTGTAGAACAATATCTAATTAGCTGAAAGAGAAGCTTAAATCACGTGTCTTGAAGAGCTTAGCTTCAGGGCAAATTTTAATGCTTAGCAGGCAAGCCAAGAAGCAAAGATCTTGTGGGAGGAGCTTTTCTGGACTGCAGGAGCTCACAGAGCAAGTAAATGGCAGAGCTTGCCACGTGAGGGAAAGCAGTTTAGGTGCTCTGTAAATACCACAATCTTCTGGGTCAATGAAGAGTGTGGTGTGGTTGATGTGGTTCTGCCCCCTGCAGCCAACCGTAGCAGAATCAGGAAGAGAGGCCTGGGAGGGACCTCACGGGTCAGTCCCTACAGTCTCCCCTAGTGGCAGAATCAGCGCACTGCCGGTGTGACGGAGGGCCATTTGGAGAGTCAGTCAGTGGGTCAGAGCAGGTGACAGCATAATGCTACACAAAGAAGGTGACATAAAAATCCTGCTGAATGTCCAGGTCATCTAAGACCCCTGTCACAGATCATCAGTGAAGTAGCCTGTGTCAGGAACAGGTTGTTGGGGCTCAGTAGACTTTACGCAAGGGCCCTCCGGAGATCTGTTAACACCTCCTAGCATGAAGACAGTGCAGCCTGCTGCCACACTATGGTCAAGGGCGTTCCCATTTAAGGTAGTTTAGAACAAAGGCATCGCCTCCTTCAGGCATGGTTACACCAGGGAATAGCAATATATTTCTGTGGAACTTGCATTCTATAAAGTGTGCCTTTATTTCCATTCAGTTCTTGCAAGAGACTTGAGAGGAAGGCAGATTGTTACAGATCAAAGACTTATTTTGCAGAGAAGGAAACTGCACTCAGAAAAATCACATGACTTCCTCCGGTCACTTGAGCTCAATTTTCAGACCCAAGTCAAGCGCTTCTTGCACTCTGCTAAGACAGGGAACATAACATATGACACAGTTCACTGGGTCTCCATCTCTCCACAGCAAAGGATTAATGTCTGTATCTATCTTATAAGCATATAAAACCTCAAAGGTTAAAGTTAGCTCAAAAAGTTCTAAATAAGTATCTTTACCCCCCAAAACTGATTTCCTTAATAGCTGCGGAAAAGCTCTTAACTTTCATCTCCAGCATGTCCTGGAGCTCGTTAGGGTCCCTCATCCCACCTGTCGACAGCCTAGAGGTCACGATTCCGTTTCAGGGGACAGGTGTGAGCGAGCTCCTTCCCTTCTCCCTGTTGCTTTGGGAGCTCTGCGATTATTTGGTTATTACCTGGCTTCCAGGTCATTCTCCACCTGGTCTCCGGAGCAACCAGCCTGTCTGCCTTCCTTTCTCGCCTCGTCTCTCACTGCCTGAGTTTCTCATTTCAGAAGATCTGCACAAAATGTTCCTGGTCCTCAGCTCACTCCTACCTTATGCACGAAGAGCCCTTTCTCCTCAATCAACTCAGCCCCAAATTTCCTCCCTCTACCCAACGTGTCCCCAGCGGAATATCTTGCCCCAAACCTCAAAACGACAACCTCAGACAAATACACATACAAAAGCAAACCAAACTTCAGAATAGGTAAATAAATGATGTTATACAGGCTTCTTCACATTGATAATCTAGATTATTTAACGTTTAATTATAGGTACTTTTAAAAGACTCAACGTATGAGTTGCTTTAAAGGTAGACCTACCCAAGACAAAAATCTGAGATGACCCGCCCTGGAGATGAGAAGTTTTTTAAATATCTGAAGGACTGTTATGTAAAAGAGGGATTCATTTGTTAAAGTCAGAAAATGGGAATAAGATCAGTTTAAGAAAAAAGTGTGACCAAAGGGGTGTCAAAAATTTGGACGGGATTAAGGTCCCAGACTGCACCCTGGGAGAGGAGGGCCGTGCTTCCTTCCTTCCGGCCCTGGGGTGCGCTGGTTGGTGCGCGCCCACCAAATGCGTGCGGGGCCGCTGTGTAGCTGCTGTGTGTGCTTGCCTTACTGTTAACAATTGCAAGGCCACCTGGTTGTGTATAGATTTGATTTACTGTAATTTAGTCTGTGGCATTAATGGGAAGACAATCAACAAGGTTTTGGCTGGTGCAGAATACCAGGGGCAGCCATCTGGGATTTTCACATCCTGGGCGTTGGGAGAAGACATGACATTTACGGTGAAACCACGCCTCTCCACCCGCCTCCAGCCCTCAGTGCTGCCAAAGTTTTGCCTCGCACCTCCAGTCCTCGATCAAACTATTATTCCTTCTCACCAGATGAGAGGCTCACTAATTGTTCCCAGATGGGAAACTTTATTAAAATTCTGATTCCTGGGTTCTGCAGTAGACCTGCTGAATCAGAATGTCAGAGGGCGGGTGTTGGGGAATCATGTTTTCCCAAAGCTCCTCGGATGAGTCTGAAGAGCAGCTGGATTTGAACTCCACTGTTTCTCTGGTACATTTTCCTCTTCTCAGAGAGGCCAAGAGGGGGAATTAGTAAGTTAGACAGTGCCCCCAAGGGGCCCAGTAGTCTGCTTTCTCTGCTAGGTGCATATGGCTGAGTGGATAAGTAGACTGAGTGTCTCGGTCCCATTCTCTCTCTCTCTCTTTCTCCTCTTTCCTCCTTTCTTTCCCTTTCTCCCTTTCCTTCTCTCTCCCTGTCCTTCCCTCTCTCTTTCTCAGTAGGTATGTTTTGAGTGGGCTGGTCCCCAAATTTAGACTGGGTGAGAGCGGGTAAGAGACTCTATTTATCCTTGAGTTTAAGCCTGTGTTCCAGTTTTTACCGTGAAGTTCTGCCTTGGGGTTGTTGGGTTTGGGCTTAGTTATTAATGGAGAACACCCTGACTCCTGTTCTACTGTGCGCACTGCATGTCTTCAGACATTTTTAGGGGATGGTCAGGGCAGATTTCAGGCATCCCTGGCTCTCTGGATGTCATACTCTCTCATATCATCAGAAACTCACCTTTAACCTTAACATAGATCATCCCACTAATTTTTCTCAAGGCAGAAATATTAGGCCCAAGAGCAAAACTGAGAGGCTTTCTTTCTTTTTCTAGTACAGGCTGTGGTGATCACCAAGTTAAGGGGAAAGCAATGCCAAGTGATTGGTGCCCTCAAATGTCTCACAGTTAAGTGTTTCTAGAGGTAATTGTGAGATCAACAGGACTGGGGCACTCACCAGAAGAATTGCTCAGAAATTGGTTTGTTTTGGGCATCCGGAGGCTGGGTGCTGAGTAGAGTGAAGTGCGCTACGTGACCAACAGCAAAAACAGATAGTCCCCAGCTGGCTGGGAGTGAAGGAAGAGACTTTCTCTGTCCCTATCCTGACCCTGACTTGTTTTGTATTCTTGGATGCAGTCTTTAAAATGGTCAGAGTCAGTGGCTTTGGCGAGTGTCTGCCCACTTCCCACTTAGCATCAGGACTGAAGCCGTGATGTCGGTGTCTGTTTCTGAGAACAGCCTTGGCAGGCCTCTCTGCAAATGCAGAGTGAAGTGTGCTGCTCCATAGAAGCCCAGGTGAGACCACCTCTGGCCACCAGCACTTGGATTTTTCCCCCAGAAGTGAGTTTGTGGTTGGCAGGTTTGTGGGGCACAGTCTGAGGCTGTGGACAGGGCAAAGGTATCAGTTCAGCCCACATGGGCTGTCCAACCTAACACCTTAGGCTCCTTCACAGCATCTTCCAGTTCATTTGCCTGTTTGTTATTTTGTGTATTCATTCAACAAGCATATCTGTTGGATTCTAATTACTGGGCTAAGAGATGGGAATATAAAGAAGAGAAAGACACAGTCTCCTCTTTCAGGTTGCTCATACTCTGGTAGGAGTAACAGACAAATACACTCCTAAGTTCGAATGCTCTGGAAAAGAGATAAACAGAGAGAGCTATCAAGACATGGAAGTGCACATGCAATGAAGCCTGGGGCTGGGAGGGTGGGGTGGGCAGTGGAGCTGGGATTAGCAAGTGTGAATCAGAAAGTGCTTCTTCTTTAGGAATGATGTAGAAGTTAGCCAAAAAATTGGTGGAAGAAGGGTGTTCCAGGCCTGTGGAAAAGCATGGCCCATTTGGGAAACTGCAGTTTTAGGCAGGAGACAAGAGCAAGAAGTGGGTTGGATGGATGAGGGAGAGCCTTGGGGAGGTAAGAGCAACTGGATCACAGCATTTAAGAAGTTGGACCTTCTCTTGAAAGAAACAGGATGGAGAGTCCATTGATGGACTTTAAGCTCAAGTTTATAGAAAGATCATTCTCACTGTGGTGTGGAGAATAAACTAGGCAGAGGTAAGGCTGGAGGTAAGACCTCATGCAGGAGGTATAGGGGGAATCCAGGAAGGGAAGTGACAACAGCCTTTATGGAGGTAATGGGAATGGAGAAGCTGTGGAGAAATAGACAG